AAGGAAGGTGGTCACTGCCTGATTGCAAGCTACCACCAGGGCTCGGAGCGCCCACACCTTGGCCTGAGCCCACACCAGAACGTGGCCGGCCAACCTCTGGCATTCACCCAAGGCCTCCGCGTCCCACCCAAATGCCGCGGGCCTGCTCAGGAACTCATGGAAGGGTAATAAGATCTGGACAGGGAGTCACCTCCCTTGCCTGAGGGAGCTGGGGTGGAAATCACGCCGCAGTTAGGTCGATCAAGGAGCCACACCAAAGAAGGCTGGGGGTGGAGGAGAGAGTCGGGGCCCGGTGTTGGGGCGGCTGCACACAAGCAGCCACGCGACCACCGCGCCCCAGTGAAGGGCGAGCTCCTGCGGAAAGTTCAGCCCGGCCCCCGCCTGGGTGGGTGCCTGGAGCCCGCAGCCGGCCAGCCCCCGGGTCTGTGATACGAGCCTCTTCCGGGAAAGAAAGGGGTCCAGTACGCACCGCCCAGGAGCGCCCCACCGCCGCCGCCGCTGTATACTATTCGGCTCCCGCGTGGCGCCGTCCCGGCTGCAGCCCTCCGAGCGGCCCTGTAGGTTTAAAGGGCCGGCAGCCCCGCCCCGCGCCCCAGGCCGCGTCGCGCAGCCCGCTGGGACCTGGAGTCCGCGGCGCCTGCATCCTGGCGCCCGCGCCCCGTCTAGGACTACAAGTCCCGGGGTCCCGCGCGGCGTCCTTGTGTAGCGGGGGTGGTGCTCCAGCTTCGGGGACCTAGGCGCGATGGCCGAGGCGTGAGACTCGGACGGTGCTTCTGACTCCGAGATGCCGAGTAGTTAGTCCCGTTGCCCCAGTTCCTGTGGTGGAAGCTTAGGGAGGCGGGAAGCTCGGGGGCTGCACGATCTTTCAACACCACCTGTGATTATCGTGGTGCACGTGGCTGAAGGAAGACTCCCTCCACCTCTGGCACTTTCTGCAGCCTGGTCGGGCCGACAGTGAGACTTCGGGTTATCTCCGTCAACGTGGCGCCGTGTGCCTGCCTCTGTCCAAGGCGAGACGGGTCCTTAGGAAGCCGTGGCTGTTCCTTAAATTCAAGCGCCCTGGACTTGGCTTATGCTAACCTCGACTCAGCAAACTCTGGAGGATGCTTTCACCGGATGCACTTTCAAGGGTACAGGTACAGAGTGCTGTCCAGAAGTCAGTGTCCAAAACATGTTTCCTGACTGCTCAACACTTATTTAAACAATGCTTCAGAGACCAGTGGATATCCATTCTAAGGAGACACACATGGCCAGATGTTGGTAGGCAAGAGGAAGTCGAGAGACCCAGCAATTTGAGAAAAGGAAACAGGATAGTGTGAATAAATTACCCACCAGCTTCACCCAAATTTACAGGTCAAGAGTACCCTCCTAGTTCCTTTCCTGATTAAAAGGGTAGAATACTTCCTTGCACCTATCAGAAGAGTGCCTGGCACTTTAAATGACAGCCCAGCATCTGTTGAGAGCTTTTGGCACCAACATACCTGAAGGGGCCCAGGCTGCCAAGAGGTAGGGAGCTGAAGTTCCACAGCATTGGTGGGGCAAAGGTAAAACAGGGCCCGGTCCTGTTGGGGAGATGGAGCAGATAAGCTGGACAATGGCTTGACAAGAGAAACATTTCTGAATCCAGTAGCAGGTAAAAAACAGAAAGAGGAAAACTGTTGGAGAGCCCTTTTCCAGATCATATCAGGACAAGTTAAAGCAAGGCCAAGAAGTATGGCTATGCAGAGCAATCACTGTACATTTGGCTGAATGGGCCATGCTCTGTGCCCTAGGACAAATGGGTCCCTCTTTCCAATTCAGAAAGGCACCATATTCCTTCGCAGGTGTGTTCCCATTGGACTGGGCTACCTTTTCTCAACTGCCCAATGGTGCTGTGAACTCTCAGCATTTCCTGCCTCATTAGTACTGTGATTCTTAGATCGGGGTTTGCGTTCATGTCCAACTTTTATCATGGGTAGGCCTGAAAGGACTACTCTGCTTCTAAACTGGCTGTTTTTACATAAAGTGGGTAGACAGGTGCTCCAGAGATCTCACAAGAAGGCAGATTTTGGCTTAATAGGACAATCTGAGTAGTCCCTAAAACAGAATTACCCCAAGATATAGCTCCCTGTGACAGAAGGGTTCTTCATGGGTAGTTGGTAGAGAGTTGTGTATCAGACAGAAGTAGGATCAGATGTCTTTAAAAGTCTCTTCCAGCTCTAAAGCTGCATAAGTCTAGATGTTATGCTCCCACTGGGACAGTTCCTAAAATAGTCAGGCAAAGCAAGAGATGAGGTTTCAAGTGCTGGTCTGTGGTGCTGGATGACTTTGGGGCAGGCATTTAATCTTCACTTCCCTTATGTACACAAGTGATTCATAACTCTTGGCAAAAACAGTGCTGTAAAAATAGTAAGTTTATTGATTAAAAAGAATACTGTCTTTGAAAAGTACTCTCCTTCCAGGATATTCAAATAATTAGCATACTTCACTTTATTCAACCACACAGAAACACTGAAATGAGAAAACAGAAGAATGTATGGCTTTTTATATATTTACCACGACATAACCAGTGCAACAAATCTGTCATTCTGGTGGCTCTGAGAAGGCAGAGAAGCCATTCACTCAGATTTTCACTTCTAGCATCACTCCCATTACTGGGGAAATTTGGGGTGGATGCCTATGGCTTCTCAGCCATCTAATTCCTTAGGGACAGGACAAGCATTCAAGGAGAGAGCTTAAAATGTTTCAAATAATTGTCAACATTCCATGGTGAATCTCCCAAAAGGCTCTGAGGTAGGAAAACAATCTGTTCTTATTCCCTTTTCTGTATGTAAAGGCCTCATTTACATTTGCGAACCAACTGGGGATCCACTGCCTGACCATCCACAGATCTCACCAAATGCACAGCAGGTTGGATACACACTACCCCAAAGGGTTTCTTCCAGCTCCATAAGCTAATCTCTAGTAGGCAGTGCCCCTCAGGGTGGACTACGGAGATGGAATGTCCCTTTCAGAGGCTCATCCATTGGTAGAAGCTTTGGTATTGCCCATGCTGGTCCTTTCTACTGGATGGCCAGGCTCCACAGGATCCTACTCTCGCTCAATACAAAAGGCTTTATATTCTTTTCTCTTCTTGCTTTTAGTTCGTCAAAAATTTCCATGCTTGCCAACTGGCTGGAACTCAAGCTTTCATGTTTATTCTTGCGCAGTCCAAAGTCCCAGCAAACCCTAGCTTCTTTCTATTTGTAACATCACCCATTGTGGCCCAGGAAACACAAAACCTTAAAACCCAAGGCTTGCCCTCAATGAGTGAAGAACATTTAATTTTGGATGGGCATGAGATATGCCTATCAAGCTACCAGATTTCTTGTTTTTAGACAGCCAAGACTAGTCAAGTGAGTGTTGAATCTGTTGAATCTGAAGCAACCTGATGGAAAGCTCCAGCTAGTCTAATACTTGCCACTGCACCACACAGCATGGGACAGTCCTCTTTGGGACATCTCCAGAGCCTGTGGGAAATGCTCTGGACATGGTCCTTGATGGCAAAGCACTGATTTTTGAAAACAGCTGAGAGATGTCTGGAGGCAAGTCTGGTGAAAAAACTGGATAGTACCATTTTGGACCCCAGATGAGGAGTGGCAATAGCAATGAGCCTGAGCCACAAGGCGGTCAATTGGCTGAGGGTCATCACCAGAGAAACATTTCAGGCATGCCTGGAACCACAGCAGCCTCACCACCAATAGGCCTGCTCTGAAAGACAACTCATTTAAATACCAGGCTTAGTGCTTTATATAGTCATACTGCATAAATTAGCTAAAACTTAGAATGCTTTCTTGGGTGGAGAATATATGCACCTGATAAAGTGCCTCAAAAAAAGTTTACGTGTAAGGAGTTCCCATAAGTTTCTTACCTGAGTGTGTGAAGATTACATGACAAACATAAAGACAATAGGTACACGTTTCCCTTCTCACAAAACAGGAATGGAGGCTAAAATTTCAGGTGCTGTGCCCCCAACTTCCTCTTCTGGTCCTGTTTCTAAAATCTGCAGTAAATCCAGGAAGGAGGCCATCCAGCTGTGAGAAGATGGACCTCAAAAGTATTTCCAGACTGGGAAGCCTAAGAACTCCAGTGAAATTCTATGTCCAAGTCAGAAGATGAGTTGAAGAGCTGGAAGACTAAAATGACTGGTTCTCTGAGCTTCAGGGAGATTGGGATGGTACAGCCTCCTAGATCCAGGAGGCTCTGGAGGATAGTTTACATTGTAAGTCAAAAGGCACTTTGAGCCCACCTAAATAAAGGGCAGACTTTCTCCTTTAAAAGTAGAACTAGGCCCAGGATTGGCATGCTGAAGGCATTTAACCTTGAGCCAGCTTTACGGGTCAGGAGCACTCTGATCTCTGGCTGCCTTCACAATCAGGCCCTTCTAAACTTGTCTACCTCGCTCACTCTCCCTGCATTCCACTGTCACTTGTTGTGGCTTGTGGCATTTTAATGATGTAGTTTAAGAGTGCCCTCAGGTATCCTTTAAGAGAAAAGCAGCTAAGACAGACCCCAGACTGATCCTGACACCCTGATATGGAGAAACCCCTGGGGCAGGGGACTTTTGTTTCAAGAAGTCTCAGTGCTCACAGGCTCAAATAAACTCCAAATTTCAAGTCATTGAGGTTAGGCCTATGTGCTGGAAGAATGAAGTGGCTTGGAGCTACAGTACACAGGATATCTTGTGGATTTCTCAAATCTTAGCCTAACCCTGTATTAAGAAAAGTGCTCACTTGGGTGAAAGCAGTGATATTCCTGGGATTTTATTCTAAAGTTTAAAAACTCTTGGGAGGTAGAAAAGAAAGCATGGGGCAGGGAAAGA